GAGTTTTAGGTCGAATCCTTCTTGATTTCTAGGTTGTAGCATTGTCCGAGTACCGTGATGATAATGTAGAGGTACATTTTCCACTTGCCGGGTGGGTCATAAGTACAGGTTTCGGCGAACGTCTACCAGAATGAGACACGGTAAAGAACTTTCTTGTCCTGGATGGACAGCTTCTGCCATCACTCACCCTTCTCCTTCCCGTAGAGGAGTTGAACTTAATGGTTGGCAACGGTCAGCATATACGTACCAGGCCGACGATCTCGCGCTTACCAATCTTATCACTCGTTTGGCATCGTTAAAGCAAGAGGAATGAATGTTGAACAAAGAAAGACTCACATTCGTGTTATTTGATGCACGTTTTACTTTTTAAAGGACAGGCACAGATTGAGGTGTGCAGAGTTGAATACCCCTTAGTTCTGAGAAATTCTGAGATGAATTCAAAAGGAAATTTTGAATTGAATTCCTCGGAGATTCTTAGGAAAATTGAGAAGAATCGTGAGGAGAACGTTATTAGAATTTGGAGCAGAATTCCAAGAGATTTCAGATGAGAGTTCAAACAATATTATAAGCAAAATTAAAATATGTTCTGAGAATAATTTCAAAGGACTACTGAGGAAGGTTCAGAAAATAAATTAAAAAGAATTATAAAGAAAGAGAGAAGGCTTAGTAATTTCCATTTATTTCCACTACCTTATTTGCTTACCCTTGACAGATCTACAATGGACCGACTTCTTTAGTTTCTTGTACTCGACTGAAGAAACCATCGCAACTTACCGAATACAACCTAGGTACATTTTCACTAACAAGCTAGGTAAACTTGTGTGTCCTAGATAGTAACTTGAAAAGCCATGTGTGTCCGTTTCCTTGATTCCTGTTGAGTAAAGTTGAATACCGTTGTTTGTTGATCTCGAGGCTCTTTGCAACATCCAATTTCCGTGGTATAAATAAATACGGTTCGTGAAACCGTGATGTCATCCGTCGATAGTTGGTGGTCCTCGGTGAAGATGTGTTCTGCAACCTTTGAATTGAGATCATATGTTAGGCCTTTTTCCTCTTGCATTTTGGCGTCCATGTTCTTTAAATTTAGTTGCTTAAGTTCTCTACAGATACTTTGTTACAATGAGTGTAGCTTATTTTATATACAGCTGCTTTACCTAAAAATTGAACTGGGTCTTTAGTGGATCCTAACAATGATTTAACTGGTTATGTCTACTAGTAAAAACTAAATCTAATCCGAATTAGTAGTAATCTTGATCAAATGGAACGGACACTCGTTTCAAGGGTTCAGATGCTGCGGTGAGGATTGTAAATAATCCCCTTTGTAGAATCGCTTTTTTATCGATAGTTGGATTGTATCCGTTATTCGTTGAGTATTGCTGTTTCGAAGATGTACTGCAATTCCTTAACCTTTCCTGTTTCGACGAGTGGAAGAGTATGCATCCGATGAATCATGTGGTGGAAGCCAGCCATTTTTTTTCTGGAACGAATGCTTGGAAGTATAGGGGATAACTTTTTGGTGCTTGTTGGTTTCCTGTAAACAGCGCATTCAAAAGAAGAAGATGATGACGATTCCCTGATGACAAGAAGTGAATTTAAAATCCTTGTGAATTCTGTTGATCTCATCTCCCCGTTTAACTAGGCTGACATTGTCGAAAAACCTCCACCAACGGTTTTATAATAGTCCTTTCTCCTTCAGGATTGTCTCCAAGTTAGCCATGAAAAGCTCACAAAGGACGGGGTCTGCTTGTAGAAGTTACCTCGGAAAGAGAAGTAGTTCTCTTCCATACAAAGGCGGGTCAGCTTAAGGTACATCCGAACCTTGTTTCTCCATGCTGTCCTCCAAATGGTTGATCGCTTTCTTGACCGGAGTGTACCCCATTAGGCATAAATACGTTAGGCATACGGACGTTAGGCATACGGACGTTAGGCATACGGACGTTAGGCATAGTGAACGTTAGGCATAAAGTCATTAGGCATAATGGACGTTAGGCATAATATACGTTAGGCATAATGGACGTAAGGCATAAAATACCTTGCTGCTGTGCAACTCTAGAAACCTGCTTAACCTGTAAACCTGTAAACAATGCTTAAATTAGGCTTAGCGTTGAATAAACAATGATACAAGTTAAACAAACATAGTTTATTTAATAAACACAGTTTGGAATCCATTATTTATCATATCATAAGTGACGTATCTACATATTTACTTAGATCCATGATTAGTAGCGATAGTGGTTAAGTAATCTTACAATGAAAGCTCAGCTTAGTTTTGAACTATATCTTGAAATCAATCGCATCTAGAAATAAAAAAAATCACACGTTTGTTGTAATATATTCTTACACACATATTGCAAAAGTCAAAGAAGAAAAGGTTTTCCTCAAAGAACAGCTCATGAAATAAAGAATGGTGAGTTCTGTGATTTTTCATTCAATAACAAAAAAAACAGCCAAGGTTGAATAAAATATGATGCCAAAGAACAGCTCATGAAAACAAGAATGGTTAATTCTGTGGTTTTTCATTCAATAACAAAAAAAACATACCTGCTGCTTCCAGGATTTCCTGCCATACTTTTCGATACAACGATTCTGATTTTGTTGTCATCAGAATGAAAACTAGCGGAACCGTCTGCTGATGTGAGGGAGCGATACTTCCATGAACAGTGACGAGTTGCCGAAACAAACAAGGAACTGTGGCAAACGTACCATCTGTAACCCAATACTTTGCCTGTCCAAGACGTCGTTCATGAGTTCCAAAAATTAAGGCTCTTTCATTATTGTCACCGAAGTCAGCAATCAATAGACGGTCTCCATTATCATCCTTCTGGAATTCATCCGGTAGATTATGCCTAACGTCCATTATGCCTAACGTCCTTTATGCCCAACGTCCAGTATGCCTATCGTACATTATGCCTAACGTCCGTATGCCTAACGTACGTATGCCTAACGTCCGTATGCCTAACGACCGTATGTCTAACGTCGTGCACCCTCTTGATCGGTACGCTGAGAAATAAGGCTGTCACGTCGAAAGATACCATAACCTCGGCGTCTTTGATGTCTCCTGGAGATTGTAAATGCTGGGTGAACTTCTGGGTGTTACCAACTTTCTCTTACTTCCTCTGGAACTGATTCGGCATTCTCTGGAACTCTGTCACTAGCCACTTCGCTAGTTTGTGGGAAGGGTAACCAACTGCAGACGCGATCTTTCGCATTTCATTCCCTGGTTTGTGAACTTTGGGGATTCCCGTAAACGACCTTCTCCGTCTCCTAATATTGATTTACACTGCTTCAGTATTTTCTCCACGTGTTTAACCATGCTCTGTAGGGAGTTCACTCAAAGCTGTCTATGCGGTCCGTGGTTAATTTTTGTTTTCATCTAATTGTCGTAATCGTCCTTGTCCATGATACCGATCGCATTGCCCTTAAAAATAATTCTGAATCATGAAGAATTTCAAATGAATCTAATTTTCATAAAAATTTCAAACAATTTTAAGAAATATTCCAATGAAATGCTTACGAAAGTTTCAAGGGAAGTTCAAAAAGGTTCCAAGGAAATTAGAAGTAGAGTTCCAAGGGAATTTTCTGCTATGTTTAAGGAGAATTGTATGATTATTCTTAATATGTTATATTATGTTAGTTTATAGTGGTGGTGTAGTGGCAGGCGTGATTGCCTCTCACTCCAGCAGGCGTGGGTTCAATCCCAGTCGGCGCCACCGGGATGTTCTGAGACATAACATCTCTGATCACGCGTTTCTTCGGAAGGGAAGTAAAGCCGTTGGTCCCCGGTTCATGAGTTAATGGGTCGATAAGTAGGGTCCAGGTGTAGGAGCTGCCTCCCTGACATTGATAGTATTGGTGCTCAGCACGGAAAACAATATCGACAGAAAACAGATCAAGGAAAAAAGATAATTAATTAATTTCTCATCAATAGTGTGAAATTATTCATACCATTCTCATATTCAAATAAAACGATTAAGCTTATTTTTAACAATATTTAGTTCAACTTGACTTGGCTGTGGATACGATTTAAAAAATATCAAGCCCAAAAATTTAATTAATTGCATTAATCAATCATATTGTGTAGTTCCGGAGAAATTACCTCATTCCTTCGGCTCCTTTGGGGTGTGCTATATGACGGAAAGCCCATTCCAAACGATCATAACCTCAACTCTAATTTATTTACATCCTATTTTATATTGATATGGTAAATCCCTTGCGGTAGGTAAAAATTCCTCAATAATTTACCTCCAGAAATCTACCCATTTCTCTCCAAAACCTATATGTGCGGATTAGTTCTATAGGATTAATGGTGGTAAATCACCACACTATGTACAGACTGTAATAACATAGCCTGTAGCCTTATAGCATATCTTGTGTTTTTTTCCCTGCAATAACAATTATAATTATAAATTGTCCGATTACAACGACTCATAACTAGACCTAAATAACGTTCATTTCAAACCACCTCTTCTCACACTCGCACAAACTCCGGGCTCTCGTAAGAAATTTGCTACCAACCAACAGAAAAGCTCACTGGAAGCTTTCTCACAGCCAATCGCATTCATTCATCCTCGCCCGGCTCAATCGCGTGACGATTGTGTGGGTGGCTACGCCAGTTTTCTTTGACAGTCAGCTGACAGTACGTTTCGCTATCCACGGTGTCAAGTTCGTATTGTTTTTCGCACAACCACACACCGCTATCTTCGAACCATACTCGTCTACATCTCAACTACCTACTACCTAGTTGTCATCGTTCAAAAAGAGAAGAGGTAAGCAATGCAAACCATTACCCGGATCGGGTGGCAAGAAGGGGACAGCTTCATTGAAGTATATGTGTATTTAATTCAGTTTTTATTTTTCATTCCAAGAAAGCGACGAGACTCGAACCGAATGCAACGAAAGGATTTGCTTTTTGATACACGTCAACAGTCTGGAAGAGTGAGGACACAAGTGTGACTCAATAAAGCAGTGACAAATCGACCAAAGCAGAGTGTCCCCCCGGAGCAGAACTGCGCGGAAAACCTGTTTATTTTTGGAGAACAGGAATAGTACTAAGAGATTCGCGAACAGCTACCAGGACCGAGTTCGGATTGTGGGCTTGCCTCCCCGGTTGGTATATAAAGCATTCGTTCGGCAGTGAAAGTTTTCTCAGTGTCGAACCAATATCGGAACGGTACGTACGGTAGCGCGCGTGTGACTTCTAGAACTTCTTCGTTGAGCTGTGCCTTGAAGAGGCCCATCCATTCCCGACGACATTCCCCCAGAGAGTGCGTGTAGTGTGTTGACGGCGACAGTGAGAGTATCAGACCCCAAAACAACAAGCCCAATCGATTACGGCCTGGTGAGAGGAGGTGGTCGATCACGAAGAAGTACGTGTGCGGAAAAACTGGTACTACTAGCTTGTTGGGCAAGTCCGAGCCGAGTGCACGAGAGAAGGCTGCAGCGGCTACGAAAACTCCGCAAAGTAATAAAGTGTCGAACCGTGGCAAACAGCTCAGTCGTTTGTGTTCCGCGTTCGGGAGAGGTTCTTCTTCGTATCGCCTCGTTATACTTAGCGTTTTTCGTAGGAAGACTACTAAGTGCATGACTTAGTATTGCTTCGGCTGGAGTTGCCTTAGTAGAGTGATCGTGTGTGCTTGAGCAATAAACATAGACAAGTGCCAGCGCGTGTTTTTTTGCTACTGACGCGAGCAGCTGAAGAAACGGACACGGACAAACACAGTTTTGTGTAATCAAGCGATAAAATGTGTGGTATTTTTGCGTACTTGAATTATCTCACGCCGAAATCGAGGCGCGAAGTGTTGGACCTGCTGTTGACGGGACTGAAGCGACTGGAATACCGTGGCTATGACTCGGCTGGTGTCGCCGTGGACAGTCCGGATCAGACGGGGATCGTCACTTTCAAGCGCACCGGAAAAGTGAAGGTCTTGGAGGAGTCCATCATCGATGCAACCAAGGACGGCAGTTATAACGACATTATCGAATCACAAGTGGGTATTGCGCATACCCGTTGGGCAACGCACGGTGCTCCCAGTGAAGTTAACTCGCATCCACAGCGTTCGGATGAGACCAACTCGTTCGTGGTGGTCCATAATGGAATCGTTACCAACTACAAGGATATCAAGAAGTTCCTGGAATTGCGCGGATACGTCTTCGAATCGGATACGGATACGGAAACCATTGCCAAGCTGGTTAATCATCTTTATGTGCAGCATCCAAATTACTCGTTCAGAGAACTGGTCGAACAGGTCGTCCAACAGATTGAGGGTGCCTTTGCATTGGCCTTCAAATCGAAGCACTTCCCGGGAGAATGTGTCGTCACTCGTCGAGGATCTCCACTGTTGGTTGGGATCAAGGCGAAGACCTGCCTAGCCACAAACCATGTTCCGATTCTGTACGGCAAGGGACTTCGTCATGGATCTACGGGAAATATTCAGTTCGAACCGACTGCTGACAACACTTCGGACTTTATCAATCCTGGAGAGGAAGTCGAATACTTCTTCGCATCGGATGCTTCGGCTGTCATTGAGCATACCAACCGAGTTATCTATCTGGAGGACGACGATGTGGCTGCCGTTAAAAATGGTGCCCTGTGTATCCATCGTTTGAAGAAGTGCCTGGATGATCCACATGCCCGTGAGATTACTACACTGAAGATGGAGATCCAACAGATCATGAAGGGCAACTATCGCTACTTCATGCAGAAGGAAATCTTCGAACAGCCAGAGTCCGTTATCAACACCATGCGAGGACGAGTCAACTTTGAAAGCAACAAGGTTACCCTGGGAGGTATCAAGGACTACATTCCGGAGATCAAACGCTGTCGTCGGTTGATGCTGATTGCTTGTGGAACGTCATATCACAGTGCAGTAGCTACCCGCCAGCTGTTAGAGGAACTGACCGAGCTTCCGGTGATGGTGGAACTGGCTTCGGACTTCTTGGATCGCAACACACCCATCTATCGTGACGACGTTTGCTTCTTCATTTCGCAGTCCGGAGAAACAGCTGATACCCTGATGGCTCTGCGTTACTGTAAACAGCGTGGAGCTTTGATCGTCGGAATCACCAATACGGTAGGAAGTTCGATCTGTCGTGAATCGCACTGCGGAGTGCACGTCAATGCCGGACCGGAAATTGGCGTCGCTTCGACAAAAGCCTACACATCGCAGTTCATTTCGCTGGCTATGTTTGCTTTGGTGATGAGCGAAGATAGACTATCACTACAGACACGACGAGAGGAGATCATGGAAGGACTTCGTCAACTGGATACGCACATCAAGCAGGTGTTGAAATTGGACCAGAAGGTTCTGGAAATCGCACAAGATCTCTATCAGCAGAAATCGCTGCTCATCATGGGTCGTGGCTACAACTTTGCCACCTGTATGGAGGGAGCCCTGAAGGTTAAGGAACTGACGTACATGCACAGCGAAGGTATCATGGCTGGAGAACTGAAGCATGGACCACTTGCCCTTGTCGACGATACCATGCCAATTGTGATGATCATCATGCGTGATCCTGTGTACGTTAAATGTGTAAACGCCCTGCAGCAGGTGACGGCTCGCGAAGGACGGCCGATCATCATCTGCGAAGAAGGAGACTCGGAAACCATGGCCTTTGGATCCAAGACCTTGGAGGTGCCGCGAACCGTTGACTGCCTCCAGGGTATCCTCACCGTCATTCCAATGCAACTCCTTTCCTACCACATTGCCGTGCTGAGAGGATGCAACGTCGATTGTCCCCGAAACTTGGCCAAATCCGTCACGGTGGAGTAAGCTGTATCCTACATTCTCACACGCCTACCACGTACTTGCAGCAGTATCAATTTGCTTTTATTTTTCATAGAAAGGGAGGAAGGCACTAAGTTTGCCGAAATCCTCACGTTTCTATCCGCAATGGATTAGTTCTTGACTATGGTTAAACAAACAAAATGATAAGTTTCGAACGAAAGGGGAGAGACAGTCAGTGAAGCGAAAACATCCACGTCTGCAAGGTGCAGTTTCTATCTCATCAAACGCGAAACTAAAACGAACTTTGCAGATGCATTAAGTGCAATACCACTACCAAGATGAATCACACATGAAAAAAAAATCCACTTATCAACCAGGAATTTCTATCTCCTATCTACCTATCTGGTCTGCATGCGCTGTCTTACTTCCTGAGGGCGGCGTAATCAGCAAACCTAGACACAGACACGAACGGCTTAAACGGATGAAAAAAGTGAAGATTGTAATCGGGGGAAAAAAATAATCGCAAATGACAGAGACACACCCGAAATCGATCAAACGATGATTGTTACTTCCCCGCTGTCGATCGTGATTTGTACTTGTAATTGATAATCGAATTCGAGAAAATGTTTATTGTTAACTTTAAAGGGACAAACTAAGTGGTCCGAAAGAAAAAAAAATCAGTCAAATTTATTTTTGTAACACTGTGAAAAAGCAAAGTTCTGTTTATTATTGTATGTATGTAATTTGAACAATAAAGTATTAGTGCTTATTCCTTTTTTTTTCAACAAACCTAGTCGGAACTTTCGTTTTCTTCTACTTCATCTAGCCCGAAGTCCCGTAAGTCAGAGGCGTGCGGTGCACTCCTATTACGTATGCCATCATCATTACACTAAATGTGGAATGTATATAAATTTGAATAACATCCAAGCACATGCACGTCTTTCTCTCTCTCTCTCTCTCTTTCTTGCACACATCTGTAAGGAGCACAGCTATTTCTCGGCCATCAGCGACCGGTTTGATTTTTCTCCTCCTCGTTGTGATATTACTTAATCGTTACTCGATCTTTGGATAGACCTACAGTTGCACGAAATCTAGCGTTCCCCACCGATAGCTTCTCTTCCAATATTTCTCCAAAACCTAAAAAAACTACACTTCTTTGATCTGAGAAAATCAGAGGCGCAGAATAGGTGTTAATCAAATTCATAACCATCATCGATTGCAATTTCAGGCGATAGATTTGACACAGTTTCATTTGGGAGGTTGAGATTGAATATTCAAAAACTGTACCAGTTTGGGATGCAATCCTTATGACTGGAGACTTGAGAGTTTTGAAAAGAGCAAACCAATCATCCCCACCCGAGACACACATAAAAACCGGTTCCAAACGAATTTGTCATCCAAAAACAAACCCTTACTCAAACGCTTGAATTCGTATGCGTTGATTTGTGATAACCGTAATAACCACCCGAAATCAAATTTCGGTATCGTTGGTGTCGCATTTCGACGACTGCGCTACCGCCGACTCCAGGTACCTAAGTGTAATATGCACACAACATAACTCACTGCGCCGCACAGTGGGACGAAATCAAAATAAGTGGGACATGGCCATTTGCGACGAAGCTATTGAGTGTAGTTTCTTTAAAGTTTGTAAGTGGCGTAAAAATACACATTTTTGCTGAAGCAAACAAATCGTTATCTTTTCGTTTGAAGAATTTACGTTCGTTCAATTATTTTTCTAAACACTATCTTTAAGGAGGTTTATCTTACAGTTTAGCAGGTATTAGCAGCTAAACTCAACGTTAGAATTGTCATCTTCGACAAAGTTTCAGAAAATTATGTTATCTACAATATTGTCATGGATGTTTATCAATTTAAACAAGACATAAAAAAGACATTTTTTATCTTAGTGTATATCCCCCTTAATCAAATATTTTAACCTCTCAAATAAAGAACTCAAAATAAAGAAACATTCTAGAAGACATCAAAATGCTACACTCAATAGTTTCGTCGCAAATGGCCATGTCTCACATTTTTTGATTTCATCCCACTGTGCGCCGTTTGACCGATTTTGATAGCTGAATCGAAAGAACTACGTGACCACGGACTCATACGGACGGGAGGTGCAACAACAACGGCTCGGTGGATTTGAGCCTGACCGAATCCACAAACCCGCCCCGGGCTGTATTCAAAACAAAACAGTATGTTCCAGCTCGGAGGCCAACTGGCCAGGCGGTTGAGTTTGGGGGGAGAGGGGATGGGTTCATTTTATTGCGTAGTAGTAGTCGGTGGCAGTTGGTCGGATCGGTATAGCAAAGAGTTAAACACACCGCCGCCGTGGAGGAGTACCGTTACGATGAAGCGCACGATATGCAATAGCATGCATACAACAAATATACGGAGAAAAAAAAATAACAACCCATTAAAGTTGAACTGAACTTAATTCGTACGTGCCGGGCAGTTGAAGTTTTTCAAACTCTCCGATGGAAGAAAGTGAACCCTGAGAAGTGTTCTTGGTGGGCGAACGAAACTTACTAGTTTCAACAATTATCATAGAAACGTACACTATATAAACTTCAACCGATTCAGTTCTACGTTCAGTCAACTAATAGACGTTCTGTTAACAAAGAATAATCATGCATATTAACTAATTACGTGAGGTTATTCTTTGTTAATAGAGCGTACGTACGTTTAAGATACATATTCCAATATATGGGGCAAAAAATTAAAAAAAAACTGGTAGATCATTTTTGTTTAGATCATTTAATTCACTTTTGAGAAGGACGTATTTTACTGAAAATTATTCATAGATTATCAACAAAGGAATATGGCACCTTAGTTGCTTCGGCAAATATGTGCACTATAAAATTTTGAAAAAGTCTCTAGAACAAAAGAAAAAATGTTAATGCATTCCGCACTCATCAAATGGCGACCCCGGCATAATGGTTAACATCTATACCTCTCACGCCAAAGTCACGAGTTCGAATCTCACCCCCGGACAAGTCACGAATGACCCAAGAGTGTTAAAGTGACTATAATAATAATAAAAAATAATAATAATAATAATCGCCATCAGATATTAAAATACAAAGCAGAGACATCAAATCCCATTGATATCACTTCGAGAGTTCGTCATGGCTCCCATTTAGGACCCCTTTTATTTATTCTATTCGTCAATGACATCTCTTTCATTATTAAGAAATTGAAAGTTCTATTCCATGCTGACGACATTAAACTTGTTTTGGAAATAAAAGATGCCGAAGACATTAACACATTCAAAATGGGAAATACAGATATGCCATACTTGGTGTCATAAAATCTTGCTACCATTAAATTTAAAAAAATGTAACTCAATTACTTTTAAAAGAAAACGAAACAGACCCGATGTAACCATTACTATAGGAAACCAGAACGTAGAAAAGTGTGATAGAGTCAAGGATCTAGGTGTTATTTTAGACTCAAAGCTTACTTTCACCGATCATTATAACACAATTATTAACAGAGCTACCCGTAAAAAAAATCCAATAAAAATACAATAATTTTCATTGTCATTGTAACCATGATATTTACTGTCAAAACATTGGACATTTTTGTCCATTATCATAACATCACAACGAAATTCATGGTTCACAACAATGAAAATCAGTACAGTACAGTATAGAGTCAGTTAAAAAGCAGTTTCTATTGTATGCACTCCGCAAGTTAGGTTGAACTGTATTTCCTCTGCCATCTTACATAGCTCGACGAATGCTCACAAATATCCAAACATTAAAAGAGCGTCATGAATTTGCTATGATTTCATTCGTAAACGATATCGTATCACATCACATTGATTCAATAGAACTATTGTCATCCTTAAATTTATATACACTATCTAAGCATTCACGAAATAGAAATTATTATTAATATTTGCTACAAACCACCATCGTACGAATTATGCCAAATTTGGACTTACTTACTTATCCTGGTCCGACATCCCTCAGGATTGCACCTGCATCACAATGTTACGCCAATTCACTCGGTCCGTGGCTGCTTGTCTCCAATTTCTTGACCGTCTCACACTTCCAAGATCCTGCTCCACTTGGTCTAACCACCTTGCTCGCTGTGCTCCTCTTCGTCTTGTACCGGCCGGATTCGAGGCAAACACGATTTTTGCGGGATTGTTGGCCGGCATTCTTGAAACGTGTTCCGCCCATCGTACCCGTCCAGCTTTCTGGATACAGGGTTCACCATAGAGTTGCACCAGCTCGTGGTTCATCCTTCGCCTCCATACACCGTTCTCACATACCCCGCCAAAGATGGTCCTAAGCACTCATCGTTCGAGTAGAGAACTACCGGTCTTCTCAGCGTCTTGTATATGGTACACTTAGTACGTAGGTGAAGCTTACCCGACCTCAGGGTCTTTTGGAGTCCGTAGTAAGCGCGACTTCCAGCAATAATACGCCGACGAATGTCTCTGCTGTAGTTGTTCTCCGACGTCACCAATGATCCGAGGTACACAAATTCATCCACCACCTCGAACTCATCTCCGTCGATTGTCACGCTTCTGCCTATGCGAGCCCTATCCCGCTCGGTTCCTCCAGCTAACAAATACTTTGTCTTCGACGTATTCACCTTTCATCCAACCTTCTTTGCTTCACGGTTCAGCCTGGTGTACTGCTCCGCCACGACCAGAAACGTTCTTCCGACAATGTCCACGTCGTCAGCGAAGCAGATGAACTGGCTGGACTTATTGAAGATCGTGCAGTAACATAACACCTTCTAGCGCAATGTTGAACAGGAGGCAGGAAAGACCATCGCCTTGTTGAAGTCCTTTGCGAGCTTCAAACGAGTCCGATAACACACCCGATATCTTCACGCAGCATTGTACACCATCCATCGTAGCCCTGATTAGCCTGGTCAGCTTCCCGGGAAAACCGTTCTCGTCCTTAATATTCCATAGCTCTTCACGGTCAATAGTATCATAAGCGGCCTTGAAATCGATGAATAGATGGTGCGTAGGGACTTGATATTCAGGACACTTTAGGAGGATCTGCCGCAACGTGTAGATTTGGTCCATTGTCGATCGCCCGTCCACAAAACCGGCTTGGTAACGTCCCACAAATCTGCTTGCTAGCGGCGATAAACGGCGAAATATGATCTGGGAAAGCACTTTGTAGGCCGCGTTAAGAATAGTGATCGCTCGATAGTTCTCACATTCTAGTTTGTCGACTTTTTTATATACTGGGCATATTACTGTCTCTTTCGACTCCTCCGGTAGCTGGTCTGTATCCCAGATCCTGACTATCAGTCGGTGCAGACAAGTGGCCAACTTATCCGGGCCCATTTTGATAAGTTCCGCTCCGATACCATCTTTCCCAGCTGCTTTGTTGTTCTTAAGCTGTCGGATTGAATCCTTAACTTCACCTATCGTGGAAGCTGGCATGTCCCCCTCATCCGCTGTACCCAAGAAGCCATTTCTCCTGCCGCCTTGGTCCTCCGCCTCTACGCCGTTCACAGCACTGTTTAGAGTCCCAAGCTGGCACCAGGACGTTGATCAGCCGGTCCTAACATGGAGAACAGACGCCGTTTTGAGTCGCAGCTCCATGGTGAACAGACGCTCGAAGACGGCACTCTCCGAAGAGAGGAGTCCCCCCTTCCCTGTCAGCATACGACCAAGGTCCCACCGGGGTTGGTTACCCAATCTTCCCTATGGTTACTCGTACTCCAGCCGGCAACGCGGGGAGGTAGGGATAGGAGTTACTGGACAAGAGGCTAAGGACCGCTAGTGGGGTCTATTTTA